ATATATGAATATATATATGGAAAACCATACTCGTGGAGTGAAAAGATATAAGTCACCATGGACAAGTCACCATGGCCTAGGGCTTGAGCGTGCTGGCCTTGTTCACATTGTTGATTACCGTCATTCCCAGAAACTGTCACTAAGGTCCGCTCAGCATAGTTACAGTATAAACCACAAAGCAGCCATCTGCAATATTGATTGGTTAGTCGCCCTAATAGACGTGTGTCCTAGAATACGAGTGACCAGCTATTATATTATTATATATATATATATATTGTTTTGCATGAGACTTATGTTTATTTCTGTTTGAGAGTTTATGTGTCTATAGGGATTGAATTTTCTTGCTGTCGCAAACAATTTGGTCTCGCCAAGAGCCTTTTCATCACATATATATATATATATATATATATATATATATATATATATATATATGTTTTTTGTAGACTAATATAGAAACTAATATATAAGTATTTTTCCTTGAGAGTTTATGTGTGTATAGGGATTGAATTTACTTGCTGTCGCAAACACTGAACTGGCCATTATTTATTTAATGAAATATGAGTCAAAGAAAATTTCCCTAACCCCGGCAACCCGGCTCACAAATTCACATGCCTGTGTTTGTCTGTATGCGTGAATTCTTATTCGCAATAACTGTGCTAAAATCCAATCGGGTGGTATACTCGCTTTGAGCGCAAATCGATTGTTGTCGTGGTAACTAATTAACACCTTTATGGTCCGGTCAATCGATAGATGACGTGTCGTGAAATCGATAAGGAATCTCTAAGCAAATGGTTTTCAAGGCTACTATACGCAAAGTCAGTCACGAACACACATGCACACTACTGGCCGATGCTCTCTTAGCTAACATTGTTGTGAAGTTATATGAATTTCTAGAATATACTGAATGTGAAGACTGTGTAACGTTAATTGTCAGAATGGGAGCATATCTATATGTCTTCAGATTCGGCACATTTTAGAATAAGAATGCCATAGCCGATTCTCAGTAATCCACCAAACAAACATGGTTGGTGCCATTAAAGACACCAGGTCAGTTCTTTACTTCGGTTGTTTTCAAAACTTTGACTGTCAACGACGAGATAACTCGTGGTTGGCAGTTTTTATTAAAACGCCGACTACGAGTTTTCTCGTGCCAATAATATTTTCACTGTGATACTTTTAATGTGAAAAGAATGACATGACTTAAGTTGAAGCTAGAAAACAACTCGTAATTGTTTTGTGTGTAAGTTGGCCCGTATAAAGTAGGTTCTTCTAAAGATGGCTCTTATAAAATTGCTTATAAAGTTGGCTCTTATAAACTTGTCTTCATAAAGCTAGCTCGTATAAAGTAGGTTCTTATAACGTTGGATCTTATAAATTTGTCCCTTATAAAGATGTTTCGTTTAAAGTTGGCTTATCAGAAAGTTGGTTCTTATAAAGTTGGTCCTTATAAAGTTGACTCTTATAAAATTGCTTCTATATAATGTTGGCTCTTATAAACTTGTTCTTATAAAGCTGATTCTTATAAAGTTGGTACTTATAAAGTTGGCTCTGATAAAGGGGGTTCTTATAAATTTGGCGTTTGAAGTCATAATCCTCTAACTGGCCACTGGAGGTCAGCGTGATAAGCAATTCAACAATCTTATCGTAAAATACTAAAAAAATGTTAACAAATTCGAAAAGCAAACTTATTTTTCATCCCCAGGTTCAGCACATATGGTAAAAAGTAGTTTAATTTGAGCGCGCACATATTCCATATACAGGAACACACACATACATATATATATATATATATATATATATATATATATATAAAATGAAGATTAATAATGAATTTTTGTGAAAAATGCCTAATCCTTGTTGTTATTATAAGAACGTTTCGGTCATTATGCTTTCCGAACATCTTCAGGAGTCTATCGAGTCCGTGCGTAATTCTTCTAATGTTGTTAAGACAGATTAGTACAGACGATACGTATCTTTTTGTAATCATTTACCCACACGCAAGACAGTAAAGCTACTAAGACGTAAGGGAGTTACTGACTATGAAAGGATAAGAGAAAGAAAACCATTATTAAGGAGCGAGAATAAACAGAAAAGAAGAGGAATCAAAGAAGGCAGAAGATAACGATTGACATTGCATTTAAATTTTTTGAAAATCAAAGTTGGCTGGAAATCAAGAAACCGGAAGAGATTTCCACAAGCGAGAAGTGCGAGTGAAGAAACTGTTAGCATAGAACTTACGATTAGATCTAGCCAAATCAAATGTAAATTGATGAGACCTTGTCGTCAATCTCGTACTGCGTTTAAATTCATAAATTCTTCGTAGCATAGGGGAAAGTTCATCAGAACAATTACCATAAAAGTAATTATAGAAAAGACAGAGGAAAGCTACATTACGGAGGTGGGAAAGTGACTGAAGCCGAGATACCAGGTCAGGACTAATAATATTGCGGATCCTTCTTTGGGTTTTATAAATAATCTCTAATTATATAGCAGGATCACCATACCATATGCGGCTGCAATATTCAAAGCACGGACGAGTGTTAGACTTATAAATAAGTTGAGTTATCTGTAATTTGCATTTTTGAAAAGCAATTCTAGTGAATGTCTCCTAGCTACTAATTATACATGACATTTAATAAATTTGGACTATACTATCTTATCTTAGTTTTTTTTCCGTAAGTAGCGTACACCGTGGATTAAAATAAAAATTATTTAGTTAATCCCCCCCCCTAATAATTGATAGCCGCATACAGCAAGAAAAACACAGGAAACAATTTTGGAACTCGGTTGGTCTGTTCTATCTCACCGGCTATATTCACATCATCTTGCATCAACTGATTATGGCTTTTTTTCATAACTGCAAGAACCATTTTGATGATGGGAAATTTTATGTAATGAAGACAAGATGCAACCTGTACCTGTAACGGCATTCACCCGGGGTGGGTTGAGCCGGCTCCAATATTGGAGTTTCATGGGAATTTGGAATTCACAAGCAGTCCCCAAACCCGCATGTATAGGCTTCAGATCAATTCCCAGGAAACCAATAGCCCGCCAACAGCACATGAGATTTGATTATAGTGGTGAAGGTTTCGTGCAGGACCATCCACACTTTTTGAAAGGCCGAATACAGAGATCTGGTGCACTACGTGCCACAAGGTCCCCAAACGACCCTCCGCAGGTTTTGAATTCAGAGTTTTCCTTCTCCTAGACCATTTGCCATCCAAGGCTATAGAACCCAGTCTGTCCTGCTATTTACCCATAGCTGGAGGGAAAAGAAGAGGATTCACACCTTTCCCAAGGGTATTATTATATTCTTATATTACTTACGTGAATATAATGGATTTGACTGGAATTCGAACTCGGCTCTCCGATTCCTCAATCCAAGCCGCTATCCATTACTCCACCGTGCCTCCTCATAGACAAGATGCAAGAGTGTGTCGGAAACTGTTTCGCATCAAAACCCGCGAAACTTTGCTGAAAATGTATTAAAGACTGATTGATAACATCTCCATCGGTGCTATATCCAGTAGCAAAGTGCTCTGAGGGAGGGTTTCGATGTCTTGAGGAGCATGGAACAATCTATTAATAGTTGTTGTTCCCGGGTAGCACTTGTTAGGGTCCCAGCTCTGGGCAAATAGTAACCCCCTCAACAAAAATGAACAGAATATTTTTTAATAAAATGACCAACAATACATTTTTATAGCAAAATGACAATCATTACAACACTAAAAATAATATAAAGATAGATTTTATAATAGAATTATGTATTTAGATTTTGGCATTAAAAAAGTGTCTGACATGCCGCCAAATGAAATCAAAAAACTTACATGAAAGAACTCTTTTGTGACGTTAATCTCTATAATATCCTAGAATTTATTAAAAAATCAAACTATATTCAAAATTATAACTTCAACAGCATAAAACACACATCACCGCGTCTAGTAATTCTGTCTAAACAAACATGGATATGCATAAAAGCTGAGTATCATCTACCATATATTCAATTGTGAAAGCAGAATAACGTATATTATAGTTTTTATTACTTCAAAGATTCAAAGATAATTAAATTTCAACATTAAATGACCCATAGGTAGTTGATTTGTCGTTAAACAAACAAAACAATCGATTTGATGTATAGATTAATAACTTTTTCATCTCAAGATTTTCTTCTGAGAAATCGCTCCTTTATCGATAAAAGCTAATTAAGACTCTTAAATGTTCATAGCGTACATAGGAAGCCATATTGTGCAACCAGTAAACCAGGTGCGAGCTTAGTTCAGTCAAAGCAATGAATTTGCTTTAAATAATGTTAAATGAAGTTCCACAATGTGGTTCGATGCTAGCACCCAACAAAATACACTGAAGTCTAAATTCAATATTGACCGAAAAATTGTCTACTGAAAGAAATGTTGCTCTGCGCTAAAAATATATGCCTCGGATTCGATTGTTGACAAAGGTTTCCCAGTGACAGACGATGGAAGGTAATTCAATATTCCAAACAGGTTTTACATATTTACTTGCTAACACTTGAACACAGAATCTTTACTGAGGCCACGTTTCATGACAAAATTAGATAGACAGATAAACAGACGAATACATAGATAACTGATTGAATCAAACTATAGCCACCATTACGAAACAAGCGAACATATCTCTTTCGTAGGAATTCATTCCATAATAAAAGTCATATGAAACAAATAATAAAAGAAATAATTTACATTTTGAAGGTCATTATTTATTGATTCGTTTTTACGGTTTATCAACATTTTGTAGTTTATTTAAAACCATTTTTAGATTGTCAGATTTTTGGGGAAATAATAATAATTAGCAGATACATGTCCTACTAATTAACCCATAGCTGGGAGGAGAAGAGGTGGTTCATTACCTTGGACAAGACTATTTGCGTTCAAAGTGAATATAACGTGCCAAATTAGAATTGGAACTCGGATCTCCAATTTTGGGCCGTTATCCATTACACCACCCGCACATCCAGGTTTAGACCACCTGGTATTTCCAAGCGGTCACCCATCTAGGTACTGACTAAGCTCGACGTTGCTTAACTTCGGTGATCGTACAGGAACCGGTGTTTGAACGTGATGTGGCCGTAAAGCCTTTGAAGGTTATGACCCAATGTCTAGTACGAACAGGTTTTTTAAAATAAAATTTGATCTTCTGTTTTGGTTTTCCTTTCAAGCTTTTCGCCCCACGCAAGGTGATAAACCCACTAAGACGCAAGAGGTTACTACAAGTATAGGAGAATGAGAAGATTTTAGTGAAGAGAAAGGATAATAAAAGAAACAGGTTTCAGGAAGGCAGAAGATGGCGATTGACGTTGCATTTACATTTTTAAAGATTGTAGGTGGCAGGGAACCAAAAAATTGGTAGTTCTACAGGTGAGAAGTGCCTGAAAAAAATGTTAATATAGAAATGGCCGTTGGATTTGGTTCAATAGTGAAACCTAATTGCCAATCTTAGTGTAGTCGAGTCACTAAGAAAAATAGCTTAAAAGAACAGTTATCAGGAAAATATTTGCAGATAGGAAAGGAAAGAAAATTGGTGAGAAAGTAACTGAAGTCGAATGCCGAGAAGGATCGATTATAATTAAAGCCCGACTATTTTCACAAATTCATGTTCTAAACGGGAGTACTTCACAACACATAAATAACCTCCCAAGTTTCGTAAGCAATTGAGCCAGATATAAATCTAAATTTTAAATCAATAGCAAAATTCACAAACAAAATCGCTATTCCATTAACACGTAACTTAGCTAATACATGATATACTAGTTATAATTGAACATATTGACAATTTTATCTCATACCAAAAAATGAATAATAATCGATAAGTGATAAGTCAACCGACGATGTGTGACTAATATAAGAAGTAATTTAAGTGAGAATTCATAAAGAAAATTGTTTTTACATAACGTGGGAGTTGAGGAATTGGAAAAGTGCAAAACAGATTGAACAGGCAGATCTTGTTGATTTAACTTAACAGAATAATTATGTGTGTCTGTTGATGTTTTTTTTTATTATTTCTCAGTATGAATTGCTCCATACCAGTGTGGTTCCAAGATTTTAGTGGTTCCCACCTGCTTGCGTACAAAAACACAACCAAAACGGCCCCCCATATAGACACAACCTTAACCTTTCTCCAATGTATAGTCAAGCTCGTATTATTGCATGTCAAATTGAGTATCTTAGTATTTCCTATGATTTTTATATAAATGGGACACACTGTAAAGTGAAGACAAGATATTCTTAGGTACAATGTGTGTCTAGTGTATGTTATGGTTCAGATGTGCCACTACCACCATCTGGTTACCCACTTCTTTTTTTTCTAACCGCCCTCATTGGATTTGTCTACCGCCCCCAGGGGGTCGGTATCGCCCACTTTGGCAGTAACTGATCTAAGCAGACCTATGAGTCAGCAATAGGAATCATCACTTTTCTTATTGACGACATTTGTGCATGAAAGAGACGTATATGTGCGTAAGCGAACACACATTAAACGCAGGTGTGACAAACATCTGTTGTCAACATGCTTTTAGTTCCTTCCTTCAAGTGATAATCACAACAATCAAATAGAATATTCAGAATTTGTACTGTTTGCTTTCTTCTTCTTACATTCTATTGTATTCGTTGTATAATATATTTGTCCGTGTTTTCTTTTTTAAACTCTTCCACTCTTTCGTTTTTCTATCTATCTATCTATCTATCTATCTATCTATCTATCTATCTGTGACTGAAAATATGATTAATCTTATATAAGGTTAATAATATAGGTATAGGTATATAACGAGACACGGTAGAGTACTGGATAGCGACTCGGATTGAGGAATCGGAGAGCCGAGTTCGAATTCCACTTACGTGCTAATACCTTTCCCTACACGTAAATTAATCTTCTTCTTCTCTCTCTCTCTCTCTCCAGCTATGGGTAAATAGCAGGACAGACTGGGATGGCAACTGGTCTAGGATAAGGACAACCCTGAATTCATAGTACACCTGTATTCCTGTATTCGGCCCTTCAAAAAGTGTGGTTGGTTCTGCACAAAGCCCTTACCACTATAATCGAATTATATGTGCTGGAGTCTGGGCTGTAGGTTTCTGATTGACCCTCATACGTCGAATACGACGGGAGAGTCCACCATATTCCGGGTATAACAGCAAAAATTGTCCAAATCGTGTAACAGCATGGGACAATTGTCCATCCTACAAAATATTTCAAATCTAACAAAAACCACTAAACTAATGGAGTTTCTTTTTTCCAGGTTTTCAGATACGACGTTTAAACATCTTGACACCATTTGTCGTAAAAATTAGTGAAAAACCCTTTGAGTTATTCAGCTAGAAAGAGAACAAGGTAAAATCGTTTTTATCAGCCTGACTATATCTTTCCAACTGAGCAATGGTGAAAGCAAAAAAAGATGATTCAGTCTTTCAGTAATGGTACCGACATTCATACCCTGGCTTCCATCTTCAAAGTCCATTCAAGAACCATCAAGAGAAAGGGGAATAAGTTTAAAAAAGAGAGGGAACAGTAGAGAGGAAAACTGGATCAGGAGGTCACAACAGAGGGACCACCATTTCAACTTAGAGGGTTTGTGCGTACTGGCCTTGTTCAGACTGTTGATCACGCCAGATAATTCGTTATCTCCCAGAAACTGTAACTAAGGTCCGCTCAGCATAGTTGCAATATCAACCAAAGGTTGGGTCTGTAGGAGTTGAACAAGAAAAAATTTAGTTAAATTCCCAGATGAATTCTGTGGACAAGACAGAAAAATCCAAATTTAAAATTTAAATTTTTAATGTAACTATAACAAGAAAAACATTTCGATTTCATTTTTGCCTTGAAAAAGTCGGAAGACGAAACGCGTCGGAAAAATGTAAGATTTCTTTTCCAATTGTCATTTGATACCAAGAAAAAATTTGCCTGAGCAGGCATCTGCAACAGGGATTGGCATACTCGGTTGTGTGTGGTCATCAATTATATCGTTATTTGTAATTAAAGAACCTCATCAAAATCCATATAATTCTAACGAACATTATTATGCACAGCAAATGCATGTCATTCAACCTGAATTGTAATCAAGAAACGAACAAAAGCTATTTCAGTAAACAAACAGAGGCAACTATACCCAAATCATCGAAAAAATAAAAAACCTGTTCAGTTTATTAAGTAAAGCTAAAACAGATTTGCAAAAATCAATTCCATTGGACAAAATATTTAGTTTTTCTCCTCTACGTCCAGCAAGCAAGGCCTCCGATCAGAAAGTTTTGAGGAGCGTGGGAACACCTCTTAATTGCTGTAGTGCCCGGGACCAGCCTGACCCGGGGTGGTATCACCTGTTACGGTCCCCATTGAACCTCCAAACAAAAACAATACACTATGAAAACATAAAATTACACTTTTATTGTAAAATACCAGCAATATGTGTTTATATGTAAAAAATGACCAACAACACATTTTATAGCAAATTTACCAGCAATATATATTATCTGGAGTTGAAGCCATAAAGTTGTTCAAAATATTTAGATTTCGGCATTAAATAGCACATGTTGATATACAGCTAATCAAAATCAGCCAACTAACAACTTATTTCTATTCCCTAGCAAAAAAGCATAAATATCTTTATCAGCAAAATTCTCAGCTCAGACTTTATTTTCCAGTTTTTTCTGGAAATTCATTTCTTTCTTTTTTTTTCTTTTCATTTACAGAATTCTGTAAACAAACAGAATAAAGGATAACCAGACTGTACAATACCCGCTTCTGTGATCGGGAAAAAAATTGTTACAGTGATACCAGGTGAAAACGGTATCATTTTCACTGTATATTGATGTAGCGTTTTTTTTCCGGTTACCGAATGATATGTCCTCTAGCATTATTCTGACGAAATATGATACCTTGTAATGCGTATTTTACTCTCCTGTAGGCATTCTTTAACAATTGTACGCTGATAGGAGAGTACATTCAAAAGCGATCCTGTTTAATGAAGTTAGTTTCACCTAAGTATTTCTACTTCTCAGTTGCATCGAATGGTATCGACGACTTTAAATCGTACACAAGAATTTAATTTCGTCTTTGTTGATCGGTTCCTTTATGATGATGGTGTGGATCACTACATTCCCCGCCAACCTGCAGGTTCAAGGCTAGAAGCTTCCAGATTTACCAAAACCTGCTCTCGTCATCCATTAACTATCGCCGTATAGCTTTGCAAGATTTGGTCGAAGGTAAAAGAAAATCAGAGTAGATGCAAGTGCCGATGGCGTGAATTTGTTTAAAGTGGACCTCAACTTGCCAGGAAGTGATCCACACACTGCGGCACATATCGATTTAAACACGCAGAATCCAGAGACTGTAACGGACTTCCGCTGAGTCTGTTATAATTTCGAGTAGCGCCTTCTGTATAATGTCCGTCATGTGTAGCCCTCTTCATCTTCTGGTTCAACCATTGAGATCTGTTTTCATCATCATCATTCGGCTGTTCCACCGTTAAAGTCTTTGGGATTTGTCGAGCTTAATCTGGGTCCTCGTCTTCGGCTCTGACGTCAAGGGCGGCTCTACCAGGTGTTTAGAACTCCCGACGGCATCGTTTTCAGAGTCACTTGACCACCCAAGCCACCCCAACCGCCACGACAAGGGGCGACAAGTAGGTACGCACATAGAAACACACACACACACACACACACACACACACACACATATATATATATATATATATATATATATATATATATAATATTAACCAAACAATAAATAAGAAAAAATTAAAAGTATAAGACATGATCAAATATATAGAACATCTTTGAATAAATAATAGAGAAATGTACATTTATTTTAATATTTATCTATATATCGATCGATCATTATATATATATATATATATATATATATATATATATATATATATATATATATATATATATATATATATGATAGACAAATTGCTTTGGATACGAAACTGAGTCAGATATGAGAATTTCGAGAGTCTATGACAAGAAGGATTTCGCTTAAAGGCACGATTCAAGCATGCTTGTTGAGGGAAAATTCTTCGCATGAGTCGTTTAAAGCATGCCGGTTTTGCTCCGGGAGAACGCATAACTGAAT